CATTTTTTCCCGGCTAACCTGCAGTAACCGGTTATAAGGACTGAATGTGTACAATTTAACAAGTTGAAGGAGTAAATGTGGATGGAAAAAAAACTTAGTGACAAAATGTATACAAATCGAAAAATATTACTCTTTTAAGTCATTATCCCTTAAACAAACATAATCTCTAAGGAAATGCCAAGAAAAAAGAATAAAAATCGTTATCCGTCAAATCTACAATGAAAAATCAAGTTGATAAAAAAATGGATATTATTATCCTAGTATGAGCCAAAAAAAAAAAAAAAAAAAAAAAAAAAACGATAATCAACAAACTGAAATCGGAACCAATTTGGAATTGAGTGTGCTTATCAGATCGGTTCTCGTTTATTTATATTATCAAATTTTGGTTTCAGTTAAATCGGTTTTCAGGTCCTCGATTTCGGGTTTTATCATTTCTCGAATCAAAATTTAGAAGGAAACATATTAGCAAAGCTTTCACAAGCATATTACGGACTTGTATATGTGGATGGTTTATCTTCAAGCTTTCACAAGCATCTTTGTTGGCATCTATAGCCCATTTATACATAAATTTTAACACAAATTGATAATGAAAAAAATGGACAAATTTAATTAAGTCATTGTGTCTACTGTTAATAAATCTACTCGAATGTCTTTTCTCCGAAACATAATCATGTGGACATTCCCCCACAACCGGAATATATATCCACCAGTGACAACTCTCATTTTTTTAGGTTTAAAATTAGGTATTGTTCCATTTAGGTTGGTCTCTTGCTTCCATATTATTAATTTGAGGGATATAGACATGTAACAACTATCTCAAGCAACATTTGTGACATTCAAAATGTTAGCCACAATGAAGCATAAAAATGACATTAATATCGTAATAATAACCACAATCTAATGGCTGTTTTTCTAACAATGTTAAATATTTTAATTTAGCCCCTAATTATACATGATGAAACAACTCCTAATTTTGGTTCTTTGAAAACAGCCCATGCATGCTTGCACTTTCAAATACCGCACCCCCCCCCCCCC